TATTATTATTATTATTATTATTATTATTATTATTATTATTATTATTAAACTGTGACCAGACAAACACACTGTTTATATAGACATTGAAATAGTTGCTCTTTCTTTATATAGTAAAACTAAAAAAAAAATGGGAAAAAATGTTGTGCTCAATCGTGGTCATAAATTGAGGACTACCTGTACAGTATTCTTAGGTTAGAAAAAGAGAGTTGTAGGTCATCTAGTCCAAACCCCACCCACCCCCGCCGCCCAAGCAGGAGACCCTGTACCCGTGATGGTGAACCTATGGCAAGGGTGCAAGAGCTGCGCATGTGCCTCCCACATCCAGCTGATCTTCAGGTCTCTGCCGCGCATATGAGGGGGCGCATGCACAGGGGACGTGCACACATTGCATTTTGGGGGTTGGCGCACAGGCATGCTTTGGGCACTCAGTGCCGAAAAGGTTAGCTATCACCCTATACCTTTTCTGACAGGTGGCAGTCCAGTCTCTTCTTGAAAGCTTCCAGTGATGAAGCTCCCACAACCTCTGAAAGCAACTTCTGTTCCATTCATCCCTTCTCATTTGAAGGGTGACGTTTACGCCTCCATTTTAAACTGGCTCCTGCCTCTTCGCATTCCAGCTGTTTCTGCCCCCTCTTGCATCCACAGACACTGACATGAACTGAGGCAATACTTTGTTAACTAAGTAAGATGTGACATGCGCTCAGGTCACCAAGTTAATGCTTAAACAATAGCCTTCTCCTTCTCGGGCAGTTTCACAGCTTAATCCCACCCCTGCCCTGGCCTTCACAATGGTCAATGGATGATTGTTTCAGCCATCACTGGAAGACTAGGAAGAAATATATCTGGAACAATGTAAAGGAATGCTTTTGAAGGAAACTCATTCTCAATAAATTAACAGATGTTTCTTGGGCAGATAAGTGTTCTGGAGAGCTTTATAGATAGCCCTCAACGTATAACAGTTCGTTTAATGACTGTTTGAAGTCACAATGGCATGGAAAAAAAGTGACTTATGACCATTTTTACACATGAACGTTGCAGCATCTCTGTGGTCATATGATCAAAATTAGAATGCTTGGCAACCGGCATGTACTTATGACAGTTGCATGTTCCGGGGTCATAGAACCCCTTTTGTGACCTTCTGACAAGCGAAATCAACAGGGGAAGCCAGATTCACTTAACAACTGGGTGATTTGCTTATCTGCTGTGATTCACTTAACAACTGTGGGGGGAGAAAAGGTTGCAAAATCAGGAGCTCGCTTAGCAACCAACTTGCTTAGCAACAAAAGTTCTAGTCCCAACTGAGGTTATAAGTTGAGGACTACTTATATTTGAAATGCCAATGCTCAATGAAAGCCTGTTCCAATTTATCCTTACCTGCTCCATCACTTCGGGGGCCATCCAGCAAGGGGTGCCAACAAAGGTTTTCCTCACTTTGTTTCGTGTAATGTCCCCACCAGTAGCCAGAAAAGCACTTACGCCAAAATCTGAACGCCAAAACACAAAAAGAAGGGGTTAAAAAGGAAGCATTCTCTCTTGTGCATCTTTTTTTCAAAGCAAAAGCTATGCCTTAGATCAGGGGTCTCCAACCT